GAGAAAGGATCGAAGTATAAAAGGGCAGTTTGCGGCACGTTTATTGGTACGAATAATGCGTGGATTATTAGCCGCTCTATTAATGTTATGGATTATTTTTTACGACATGGAATATTCGATTCTACAGCAGACATCAACAAAAAAACTAAAAATTCGCAAATTAATTCATGCGCTTTTACTTGGTGTGATATCTGTTGAAACACTACGTTATGCTGCTGCCGTTCAACTTTGGCCCGGAACGTTCAAAGATTTATTAGAAAAATTGAACGAAGATGCATTGTATTTTTCAATAACAATACCGGCTTGAAACATGTTTTGGTCAAAATGTCTTATTAAATTATTACAAATAAAAACAGACAGAACACATATCGATAGCTACGGTAAAGTTATTTTTTCCTCTCTTGAGCATCATGTAGTTTCTTTTCCTCAAGCGAAAAAGCTGACTCCGAACTCCCGAGGCTCCTGGGACTCTCACTTGACCCCTACGTTTGCCACCGAAAGGGGAAAAACCAAGACTCAGTCACTCGCATGATTCTCGGAGTCATTTGGAAATCATGGTAGACACGAGAGTCTTGTTCTCCCGTCCCATCCTCTTTGGGTGTTTTTGTAATACGAGATTACATTTCTTAACAGCAGCAGAATATTTTTGTAGAAGGTAAAGCGAATCTTTGAACGATACAAGAGAGCAATCAGAAAATGACAAAGTTTACTCTTGCAAGATCAAACCCTGCAAAAATAAAGCCTGTAGTTACCCTCACGTATACTGGACAATTACTGAGATTGCGCAGTCTAATCGTTCTCCCGTACACATGAGTGTAACTACAACCTTTACTTTTGCAGGCTTTGACCTTGCAAGAGTAAACTTTGTCGTTTTCTGATTGCACTCTTGTATCGTTCAAAGATTCGCTTTACCTTCTACAAAAAAATTCTGCTGCTGTTAAGAAATGTAATCTCGTATTACAAAAAGAGTCACTCATACGCATATTTCACATCCAATCAATCTCAGCAAAAGGTAGGTAAAAAATTTCGAACAATAGTAAACTGGACTATAAGAACTAATTCCTTGGATGTCAATATGTTAAAAATAAAACGAGGCTCTCGTTGCTATTTGAATCGCTTACATTAATCTGAGATATAACCCCAAATATTTTTAAAGTCAGGAGGCAGCTCATTTTTTAGCATTACCTCGTTTTTTTGTTGTAGGTGACCCGACCTATGTGGCCAGCATAAACAAAAAAGAATCCGAACAGTGGAAACAATTTCATGCTAAAATACGATTTATTGCTGTGCTAGCTTTCTGTCTAGTTGGTGTTATGTACGGAATTGATGTATTAGACACAAGTAAATCGATGAATACTAAATGTACATACGGAATATTTCGTGTCATATTGCCTCTCGTTGTTGGCAGTGCTATCATTGGAGTTTTGATAGTCAAGGAGTCTTCAGCAGTAGCCGATATTGAATTTCATGGTATCGGAAAACATGTATTATGCCTCTTTGCTTGCATGAAAATTGGTGTTAGTATTCTTAATATTATATGGTTTAACCAGGACAATCATCCAGATGGTGACTGCGAAACTAAGGGAATAACAGTGGCAGCGCACGTAGTCGACTTAGCATTTAACGTATTACAGTGTATCTTGTTATTGCAAAAACCATTCCGAGATAAAGTACAATATT